ACAGCATGCCTATCCCTTTCATTGACTTCCTGTCTGTGCTACTTCTCTCCCCGTGATCTAACACTAAATATTTTTACTCTACTACCTTCTTCTGCTATTTCTATTTGTAGCACACTGCTAGACTTGTATCCAAGCCAATCCAAAATTCTTCTGAAACTCCCTGTGCTAGCACCAACATGAAAGCAGAACTCTGAAGTGGCTGCAGCAGCTATGGTAGGGTTTAACTAAAGTTAAGAGTGGTGTCAGTCACTTCAGCCTTTTGGGTTACACTGAAAATGGAAATGCCATCTGCCAAGAGAAACAGCTTGCAAAAATTGTGTCATGTTGCCTTTTTTTATGACAGGCCTAACAAGACTGTGTGTGGAATTACCAGCCAATGCTTGAAACTTGTGCACTTTTCTTGTTTTGTTGTTGTTACTATTATTGCAAGATAACACATAAGGCCATGACGTGTCAAGTCATCTTTTCTCCTGTTTTCTACAAAAGGGGGGAAAGCAAAGTGTCCTGTCCCATCAGAAGATAAAAACACAGGAGAGTTGAAACAAATCCCCATAGAACATGTCCATTTGCTTGTCTATAAAAGACCTATAAAACTTCAGTGAACCATATGCTTTCATCCAAAGAGTACAGATGAAGTGAAAGACCCCCAGGCACTTCAGTCCCCTAGCTGACTGGCTGTGGTTTGGGGTGTGTGAGGTTCAACAGAGGGCACAGCTATCCCAACAGGAGGTGCCTCTGTCTGTAGCCTCAAGAGTCAGACCCTAGAAGCAAAAGCCATGCTGTTGTGCCAAGACTTTTCCTGGCCTGTGGACAGGAAGAAGGCAGTAAGCTAGGCTGCTGGGACAGGCTGGGGGGATTGCAGCCCAGATGTGTGTGTGTGTTCCTAGGGACCAGAGCAGCAATCCTGTACAGTGGCACTGCTCTTTCTTTCCCCTCATTCTCCCTATTCATGAGGGCTACATTCAGACCTAAGCCCGACATTTGAGACATCTCTCTGCCAGAGAGCATGTTTGATGTCTAAAGGGCAGAGTGAAAATACAGGTGTTTCTGAAATCATCTTCCTCTCTCACATCCATGTTATCCCTTTAGAGCTCAGAAACTGCCCTCAGGACTTTGTGCTTGAGTCCTTTAAGGGCTCTGATGGCATGGTTCTCCCCAAGGACAGTGCCAGCAATACCTTGGACTTAAGAGACTAGTGCTCCTTCCTTCTGGCTCCTTCCTTCTGGTGTCTGTCTTCTAAGTCACTATCTTTTATTTTAGAGCATTCACTGAGGAAGTGGGAGACCTGGGTTCAATGCGTTCCTCAATCTGAGAATGCTCCTCTCTCACTTCCCACGAGACTGTCCAACTGCCAACCATCAGCTATTCTGAGTGAAGCTCTTCAGAGGGAAACTATACTCTCCACTAATTTGCTCTCCCTGTCCTGCTGTTGGTGGGCAGCTTCTGTTTTAGAGTGAAGTGATCAGAGCTTCATGGTGTAAGGAGCCTCACACTGCATTTGGTGTTCTCAGAGCTACAAGACCCCATGCTTTAGGGTGTTCAGACAAAAGGCACCTTGTCTTTGTATGCCTGTGGAGGACAGCGTGAAGTGCATCTCCTTGGAGATGCTGTTATGGGCAGGCACAAAAGCAGAAAACTGGTGTAAAACCAAGGACAGACCACAGGGTGCAGGTGGCTGAGGGACAGTGATCTCTGTGATTCTGGATTTCAGTGCCTGAGTTCAGTTAGAGTGCAGTATTATTCTCTTAAGTCCTTTATTGGCGGTAACTCCTTAAAACCCAATTCTCCATTTATCTTCTTTATGTGGATGAATCCTGGTGGATCAGCCAGGATCTTTATTGCTGCTTTACTAAACATTTCCAGAGTTTCTTCGATGTCCTCTGTGATGTTCTTCTGTGGAGACGGTAATTTGACGTTTATCATGTGAGAAACTAAGAGCTTGCCATCTGGCCTGGTGAGACTTTTTTCTTCTTACTATTAATTAAACTGAGGTTATTGCAAAATTTTATTATGATGGTTATCATTTGTCCTGTGATAACACTGGGGCTAATACTGAGGCATGCAAAGCACCTTCCGTGCTGGTGACGTTAGTGGGAGGTGCAGCACAGCAGCACCTCTTCAGATTCTGGTGTCAGCTCTCGTAAGTCTTAGGGCCAATTCCAGCTATCCCTATTCAGGCATCTTACCATGGAGCAAGTTCTTCTGGTTCTGAGGGGATGGTTTCACAAGTAGGAAGATGTAGCTGCGGGGGGAGAGTGGGGGCAGCTGCTTGGCCACTATAGTGTCATATAACATGCCCTGGCAGGAGATCTTACTGACCACAGCTTTGCCCTGCTTGGTGAGGCTATGACCATTCATGGGAAAGTAGATCGGCAGCAACAGATTGTTAGAGTGTGGTGAGAAAAGAAAGGAGGGAAAGACAGTAGAGCTAAAGTTGATAACATCTACAAAAAACAGGTGCTGATGATGGCTGGGTGAGGAAGGAGGAAATTAAGCTTTTCTGGAGATGGGACAGGAGGTGGCTGTAGGCTGTCTGGGATGGATGTGTGTAGTATTTGGAAACTCTGGTTCCAGTTCATGCCCAGATCCAGCTCAGGGGTCAGAGGCTCTTGCTTTTTCTTTAGTGGTCTCCAAACTGTGATTTTGTAAATATTCTGATACTTGCAGGTTTGAAGAAGATGGCCGTGTATGAAGTCCTCCCCCAGCACTAACTCGACATCTTTCCCTTCTCTGTCAGACTTGAATGCTTCACTGCTCAGAGTTAACAGCTTCACAAGAGATTCAATAATATTTTTTTTTTTTTTTGCCCAAATCCCTCGAAGTCTGAGGGACTGGAGACAGAATCAGTTTGAGATGAGCAGCCAAGAAAACTAAATCATCCTTGGGTCAGGGTGAACTCTCATTTGAAGAGGCCACAGATGGCAAAGATGTTCATGAGTCAGCAGTTCCACAGACCTCTGTCCATTCAGAGAGTAATATGTGTAAACAGATACGAAAACAGCAAAGAGCCACAGAGCTTTCCAGATTCTTTCTATTCCCTCTGCACTGCTGGGGGGGACCTCCACAGAGAAGGCACAAAGAAGGAGAGGGATGAGGTACTGGCCACTGAGTTAGTCTCACAGATGGTCATCTTGCGCTCTGTGCTGCAGCTGTGCAAAAGCCAGGGAACAGGGTGATGGTGAGACATAGTTCCGGTGTCCCTGTTCACCTGACAGCACACCTGGGTGTGCTCTTCAATAAAGGAGACAGCTACTGAGAAGCCTGGTGTCTGAGATAAAGGTAAGGAAAGAAGGGTTAGGCAAGGACACACACTGTTGCACCATTGCACCACTGCAGGTGCAGAACAGCTCCTACACATTTGGGTTTCATGGAGTGGGCCTGCCCCACCAGGCAGCTGCTCTTGGTGGCTGATGGGTGCATGATGCTGAGGAAGAAGGATGCAGCAAGCTGTGGTAACATGATCCTGCTGTTTGATACCTGCTCTGGATCCATGTGCCTATGAGTCTGGGACCTCAGCAACCCATCAGGATACTGAGTTCCTCACTGTAGTCACACACTGTGGTCCTATTCCCTGCTTGTAGGATTGTCTGTCTCTCCCTGCTGTGTGAGTAAAGTAGGACCAGCAGCAGAGGCTGCTGTATCTGCAGAGCACAGAGTTTACAGCTGGGTGAGACAGAGATAGGAGAAAGGGGATCTGCACAGACCCAAGGTGGCTGTGCATGTGCCAGGCAGAGGTTACACACAGCTGGCCCCAGCCTGTGAAGAGGAAGTTCTCCTGTGCAGAGCTGTCCTCTCAGGCTCTCAGCAGACTCCTGCAGCCTTCCCTTCACCCTGCCCTTGATGTTTCTTTGTTTTTTAGTTTTTTATATCACAGTCACTAAAGCTCTCAGAAAGCACTGTATAATTCCATGGCACTCTGAACAAATGCAGGCCAAGGGTGTATGCCTGGACAGAATGTGCCCTACCCCACAGAAACCCCCAAAACTCCCTCCAAGCTGATGTGGGGGTTTCTTATTCTTCCTGCCCCTCTTTGATGTTGGCCAAATGTTACGCCTGGAGAGTGCAACACCAGAGGGCCGTGCAGAGGACCCCTGCCTTGTTTTGCTTGTGTTGTATATATTCTAGGGTGTGCTGGCTAAGAGGGCTCGCAAAGAGAAGTGGCATCACTTCCATTCCTGCCCAAATGTAAGCCTGGGGCTGGTTCTGCTGTAGGATAAAATTTCAGTGGTGAAAGCTGGCGAAGTCAGAGGCTGTGCCTGAATTGTTTGTGCGACTTTTATAGACTGTCTATCTGGGATAAAACACAGAGCCCAAATCTTCAAAGCACTGTGTGGGATGGCAGCTATGGGACTTCCATTAAAGTTAGTAGGCACCACATGACTGAAAATTTGTATGACGCTAATGTGTTTCTTCAGAGGAGTAGCTGCTGCTTGTGCTGCTGAGACAAAGGGAAGCAGAGGAAAATGAACTCTACCATGCCCACAAAAGCAACACCTCACAAAAGTTCAGCAATAGGGCTTTTGTCCTTTTTGTAAAGAGCAATTATAGTGTGTATCACAGGAGATGTAAAGGAGCATGTGAAACATTGGGATTTATTGTCAACAAACGAGGTGCTTCAAATTCGTTGCAAAATTGGAGAATGTCTAGTCAAGCTCTGTAAAGAACTTGAGGGAGTTAAATGGAGTAAACTGACTGAATCCGGCTGTAAATTTAGAGCATCTGGTTGTCATCCACCTTTCCAGAGAAGAGAAGACATCGTGAGAGAATGTCATCACTGGGCACAGAGCACAGTCACAGTGAAAAGTTGCCCACCAAGCAAAGATCAGTCAATGAGTGCATCATAGACAGGGAAATGGATTCTGTCTGGTCACAGTGCTTTCTGTAACTCTCAGAAGACACTGATGGATGAAAAGTCAGTGTAGACAGACTCCCTTTTTCTTCCTGTTTTGACATCTTTCAGGCTTTAAAATGAGCTAACTACTATTATCCTTATTTTACAGATGGGGACAGACAGACAGGTTTCATGACATGCTCAAGATCACATGAGCTGCCTGTGTCAGAGTGAGAAACTGCACCTGGATCTCTCAATTGTGAGGCTGTTGCTTTTGGCACTGCATCATCTTGACTGCAAACCACACATCCAGATTGACTTTCTCTGCGTCCTTCCTGTGCCTACAAATGGTAAGTATTTTGAACAAATAAAAAAAAAAAAAAAAAAAGTCCTGCAATTTATATGTCCAGTCATTTTTATGCTGTGGCATAATGGACCTTAGAGGAGTCTGCAATTAATACAAGTAATTATCCATTGCTGCAAAGACTCTTAGACATCACTGGCTGAGAACCTAGATGAAGTTTTTACCTTGTTTACTGAGTGCCTGATGGACTTGGGTGATACCTGCAGGATAAATCAACTTACAGCCAAGATGAATACTGCAAACTGCTTGGTGCCATTGTCATGTTTTGGCCATTGTTGGAGCTTTAATACCAGTAAAGAGAAATCAGGGAAATATATAGGTAGGAAAAGTAGTCATCAGCTATTACAGAGGGTTCCTTGTGTTTGCCTCCTCCAGAGTTTGCCTTCTCCACTCATAAAGATCTAATATAAAGGCTGACAAAGGAGTTTGTTGGGACAAATGTATCCATAGTTTGTTGGGACATATGCAGACTCTAGGCATGTTCTTGTTCTTCATCTTCATTGAAGATCAGCAACAGTGGGGTTTTCCAGAATGCCCAAGGAGCCATTGATCCTGGATCCCAAGGCACAGGACATACGGGGCACATCTAGTAGTCCCATTCTAAGCGACATAGCTACTGAAAGCCCCTCTTTCAGTGGAATAACTTATCCTTTTGACTCCAATTTCCAAACCTACTACTGACCTGCTCCAGATATGTGCTGCAGGCTGCTGCTTTTAGCCTGGCATTGTTGCCAGAGGCACTGGGCACCTGGCATTTCATGACACCAGACGAACAGCCATTAATTTAAACTCATCAGGCAAACAGCCACTTCTGCTTGCTGTGGCTCTGTTTTCAGCTCTTCAGCTCTGAAGTGAGGCTGACAATTTCTGATGGTTTCTCAGACCTCCTATTGAGTTTTGTTAATTAATATTTGTGAAGTACTTAGATGTTTTCAGGTTTATGGTGATCCAAAGTAGTAATATTACTGTTGGTATTATTAAGACTAATAATACTGGTAATAACCTTAGTGAGCCTGGCAAAATTCAATTTGACTAAAATCCTTGCCACAGATGAAAAAAACTTAACTCCAGTGATGTGAGGGGTTACGTGACTCAGTTACCAGTAACTGCTGTTTACAAGGGGCAGGAAGAGTATATTTGCTCAAATGAAAAAAGGTCAAGGCAGGGGCCCATTTGCTGTTTGTTAATAAGTAATCTAAAGCATAACACTGCTTTACTGTAGCAGATCAGCCTGGCTTAGTTTTTTCTTTCATCACCATTATTTCCAGTCCAGTTCTGGACTAAAATGCCAATTCAAAAATAACCCACATTCTCATAGATTATTTTCAACATTTCCAAACCTATGGAGAGGATTTGTATCAGGGGAACAGCAACAACAACAAAAAAACCCATTCCATATTTCTGTCAGTGTTTGCCTTGGGACACTGTAGGTAGCCAAGGTTGAAATATCAGATAGGACATTATTTATCTCCTGGGAAATTCTCCTTTAAGCTTAGACCTGTGCATCTTCCCTGTGGAACTGTGCCAGTTAAGCAGCTGTGGTGTAGCTGGCCCACTTACAGTCACCCCACTAAGTTACTGATGTAACTCACAAAACCACCTATGTCATCTCCAAATCTGGCTCACAGTCAACAGTTAAAATTCAAACATGGGTACTGAAGAACATCCTTCTTCCAAGTGACTGAGCAGATGTGCATTGTGACCCCTGCCCTGTCTTTGTTTTTGAAAACAAACTAAGTAATTTTTTAGCAGCACTTGTCTTCAGCTGCCAAGCAGTGTTCTGGAAAAGGGTTGGAGTCTGTCCATTGAGGTTCACCTACTGGCTGTGGGTAGGATTCACTAGAAAAGGTTTTGCCATTAATGAGCCACTTAAAGTGCTTATCAAGAAAGCAATACTTGTGCCAGCTGCCAGCTAGCCACAGCTTCTCATTCGTAACCCTTGGTGTTCATGTCCTTCAACTGTGCTGGCCTGAGGCACACATCTAGTCCTCAAAATAGGGAATGTGATGTACACGGTGCTGGAGCAGGCATGGCCAAAGCACAGACAGCACGGCACTGTTGGCATGCATCTGCAGTGTTGGTTTGTGGGGGTGTTTTGCCTTATGTATACTTATTGCTTGAAGGAAGGTAGCAGGGGCGCACACACACACACATTATGCACGAGGTCACCTTTCGAAATAAAACCTAAACAGATTGCGAACTGCAGTTCCTAGCTTCCTGAAATACAGTTTTGAAAGGCAGTGATCCTTTAAGAAATCAACAACCCCTGCTCTAGCAGTCCCAACTGCCTGTTAACCCAGGGGGAGGGAAAGAGGTTGTTGAGGAAAGATTTTCCCAGTAGAGCAGGTCACATTTATTGTGAGCTCAGAGTATCTTTCAAGTGCTATAACCTTAGCAAAGAGTATTCTTGAGCTCTGTAGTCCTAGAGAGCACCAGGTCCTGCCTCCATTCAAGGCAAAGGCCACACAAGCAGGGTAGGGGAGGAATTGCTTTCTACAGAGCTGCTCCTCTAGCATCAAGCAGAAGACACTGAGGCTGAGCAGCAGATGCTGATGTGTGGAAACAGTAGAGAAGGAAGAATACATGTGGGAGCTGTTGTAGGGTCTTTGTACGTGCAACTGAGTGCTCACACACATCAGAAAGGCAGCACCAGTGGCTCCTAGCTGACAGGAGAGGGGTATTTTGGATGCCCCAGAGCCCTCATGTTTGCCTTACTTGTTCTGTTACTGACGCAAGAGGAGGAGGGGAGCAGAGGACACACAGTGTCCTGGAAGAGCAGGCATGGCTTTTGCTACCCTGTGTGTCTGTTACCTGCATGATGGGCTGCAGCTAGGTGGTTGGCAAGCAGAAGGGTTCCCATTGATCGTTGAACTGCTCTGGTGTGTGCAGGATGTTCATTTCAGAATACCTGGTGCGGGCAGCAGGGAGTACAGTGGAATTGATGCTCACTTTTATCAAGTCTGTCTGAGCTGGGGATCTGGACAAGTGTCTTGTAGCTTAAACAAAGTTAAGAAAGTGGTAGCATAAAGCTCTAGATCCCATGACTCTATGCTGCTCTGAAGGAGCACGTGGCCATGCCATACCTCACACGTTGTGGCGGGGAGAGCAGCAAGCGTTACTAGCTGGCAGCCTTTGCAAAATGGTGATGCCACATGAAAATGCCCATGTTCGTTACTCATGAGATACACATTTCCTGCCCATCCCTGCCTTTCTGCGGGGTATACAGTAGTGTACACTCAGGGTGGTGGAGCTTTCTGCTCCTGTCCCTGGATGTTACGATATTTTGTCTTGTGCTTTGTTCTGGGTAATACCTGTTGTTTGAGCTACCTAGTGGATTGCAAGAGTCTTTATCAGCACTGATACATTGCACTCTTCCTCTAAAGACCAGTGAGGATTTACATGTTCCCCTAACAGCAGTGTGAGAACTGGGGTACCAGGATGGCAGGTGGCTCTCCTGAAGCACTGGGGTAAGGTAGAAAGATGTTAAGTGTTCCCTGAATCCAAGCCTGAGCAGTAGTCATCACCACCATGTCCTCTCAGTTGCACCATGACAGTGAATTGTGCAGTCTTTTGCACACAAATGAGAGACAATTACTGAAAAGCAAGCCCAGTGCTGCAGACACCACTGTAGAGACATATACTCTAAGTAGGAGCCTGGATGCCTGGGAAAATACACAGGTGGTTTCAGAAATCATAAGTAGCCTATTACCACAGAGGAGATGGGGAAAAACCCCTCTGGAGCTTTCCCCCATGCCCATATGTTAATTTTCCCTTGAAGCCATTATTGACTTGCACAGGGTGGGATACTAAAGCCTTGCAAACAGTGCTGTGAATCAGAGCTCTGCACTGCTGTTGCTGGACCAAGCAATCTTCACTGATGCGAAATAGCATGGTAACTTGCTTCCTCAGCTTGTACCTTGGAGCTTCATGCACCTGATGCTCATCAGCCTCAGAGGAAGTTCTTCTGGTTTCCCAAACACTGTGTTTGGCTCACCTTGGCCTCTGGCAGAGGTGAGCCCATCTTGTTTACCTGCTGCCTGCTTTCTGTATAGTTTGTATAGCCCACAGTCCTTCTCGTAAAGAGAGGTCTTTCTCATAAACTGCCATATTTGCAGACATTTAGAAATACAGGGTGTCTAGCTATGCTTCAGGAGTAGCCTAAGATCACAACGCAAAGGCTTTGCTATTTTAGGGGTCAGGTGCTAGGAGTGTTCCTTGTCTGTTGTCCCCTTCAGCCCTTAGAATTTGACCAATGCCTACACATGCACGACACTATAGAAATATTGCTGCTGCAAGTGAAAGTTAGAAAACATTTATGTTTTGCATTTATAAGCAAAGTATGGTATTTTCCAAAGCATTTTGTGTATTAGGTCCAGGGCAGAATTATAAATTTATACCATTGCAAATATAATTTGTGTAGTAAAAATGCAAAACAGCCAAATCAAGCTGTCACAAGTTTGGTCCAAATGGAAGCTTGTCCAGTTGGATGTTTTCTCAGACAGATGTAATCATTTGTGTGTTTTTTATGGTAAAATAATTCTGCTCATGAAAAGATTTTTGTAATATCTGTGAATAACGCAGATACAAGAAAATATTTTGCTATTTAATGAGGTAAGTTATGATTTTCCTTCTTTTTGAGAAGAAACAAAGAAGAAAGAAAGACCACATGGTCATGGGTGAGACAAATGCACCAGCGTGTGCTGGGAGAGAGCATTCTCAGGGAAGGAGTTGGTATGCTGCTGGGTAGGGAAAGACTTCAGTTCTCTGTAGCTATAGTAGCAGTACACATTTTCCCTTAGCACATGCTAATTCATGAGACTCCTCGTGTTACGCACCGAGCCCTGAGTGCTCAGCCTGGGCGACTAGGTGGTGTGGCATTTCCAAATGCAATTACAAACTTTTGACGTTATACCCAAGAGTACTTTGATGTCTCAGTATTAAACACCGTGTTTCTTGATTTCTAATGCCCTGCTTCTGACTTTAAAG